TTTTTTTTTTAATTTTTTGTTTTTGAAATAGAAGGAGAGAGGAAGAGAGTGGTAGAGAATGTGGGAGTGAGATTTATTTATTTATTTTTAATTAGAGATATGTTATGATTACATGTAGATGAGGCTTTGAAAAAAAAGCAAAATTTAGTTGTGTGAAATTACATTTTTGCCCATATTTCTTATTCATGTTCTGTTTTAATTAAAGGGTTAAACTGATAATTTCATAGAGTTTTGGTTGACAATGAGTGTTTTATTAATTAATAGAGATATATACTCCATAACTTACGGTCTTAGCCTAATTATAACTTTTATTGTGGAATCAAGTTCAAACTCTACTACTAATTTTAACTTTTATTTATGTATGTCCATAACTTACCGTCTTAGCCTAATTTTAACTTTTATTGTGGAATCAAGTTCAAACTCTACTATTCGTGTTGAAGATTTCTCGTTTGGTGACGATACTGATGTGAATGTGGTAAAGATAACTCTTAATTTTTGTTTTTTATTTTTTGGCTGTTGTTGATTGATTGGGATACTAATTCAATTTGTCCATTTCTTTTGTAGGTCTCTTGTGGTGATAATGGGTCGTAAGATTTTGTGATTAAACATGCCAAAGCATTAGAGTGTTCGAAGGTTTAGTTTTGGGTATGTGTTGGAGACTAGGCTAATTTTTGGATCTTTAAACCTTATGGTATACAAGAGAATGATTACCTTAAGATTTTGGAAGCTTCAACTTTGTAATCATACACAGTTTGATTTTATTTTAATCTTGGTATAGATGTTTTAACTTTTAATTAAAAACTTGCTTGGATTTAGCTGAAAAGTATGTTGCACAATATACTTTAGTTTGAAAATGAAAATAGTTGAAAAAAAATGAAAATATAATTATTATGGAATTTAAACAAAATTATGACAAATTTTATTTTGATTTTCAACTTGTTAAACAACCGGTAAATAGGTAAAAGGAGAAACGGTTACAAGTACATTTACTCATTCATAAAAGGTTATGGTTATTGGTATACCCGTTTCCAGAACCATCCAACAAGTAAACAGTTATACGGATAATAATTTAAATGATTACAAATAAATAACCGTGGTTATCCGCCGGCCATAACCGTTGCCCATACGTATTCCCTATCAATGATATACAGAAATTTCCCATCTTTTACGATGGCATCAGAGTAGGTTTTTCCTGCACTATTGAAATTTTCGTTTTAAAAAAAAAAAATCTAAATAGTTGCGGAAATCAAATCTAACGGATAAAACACCTGTAATATTGAATGATACGTAGCATTCAGGCCTTACCCCGTACATACAACTGTTCTACACTCAATTTCTTGATAAATTGATTCATGATACCAGTGCCTATCAGGGACATGCAACATGCTTGTGACTACTGGCTATGATTAGCACGTCTCGAGGAACCTAACCTGTCTCTCTTGCACAGTTTATATACAGTTCCAGCTTCACGTTCGCAATCCGGTACAAATCATATGCATTTGTATCTTGTTCCTACCAATGGAGCCGAAAACTGGCTGCCTGCATAAGGGGGTGTGCAAAGTATGCACCTAACGTCAACGCAGTGATTGACAAATATGGCAACCGAATAAATTCCTTGTAGTAATCTTTGGGCAACTTTTGTCGGCCATCAAGAATCGCTGCAAATGGTATGATACTTGTTCGTTTCTTCACAACTTCAAAGGCCTCCCCGTATCTTATAGCTAATCTCCTGTCACCATTCCAAGCACCAAACAGGTGGTGTCCGATTAAACCAAGAGAAGCTGCCACCGCCACCGAGTTCCCTATCCAAATCGTGTGAGCCAGGCACCATATTACCTGTCCGGCCAGCTAAAGGAAATACAAAACCATTACCAAATTGTCTTAACGGGGGAGAAAGAGAAGGGAAAAGAGAACAGAAGGTGCAGGCAAACGTAATACACCATTTTTATATTAGAGAATAATTGAAATTGCAAATAAACCCCGAGAAAAACCGACAGCCCAGTGATTTTGGAAAAATCGAAGGCATCATATTGCATCTAAACTTGAAAATGTTCATAACACATTTTGTACAATTCAATGGTATAAGAAGATCTCAGATAAATCCAGACCAGCTAGAGCATTAGAACTGACACCAGCATTCATCAAAAGACCTAAAAAGCAACCAATTGCCCAGTAAATGAACTAGTTACCTGTGGATGCCTGGTTATTCTCATAATCCCAGTTTCCCAAAGATGCATTTTGGGCTTGTCAACGGCTGCTACCTCTAGTAGATTGAAAGTTGAGGGATAAAGGAATAAGAACGAAACGAAATTTGAGAGCCACACAAGTTCATGGACACCAAATACATTCTTCACATCCCATAACTGTAGTCCATCGTATCTGTGGTTAATAAAGAACACCTGAATCACAAACCCTCAGAAGTCAATTCCCTCCACACCGTCAAACAAAGAATTTAAAACAGAAAAAGTGGCAGTGAATGAAGTTAAATATAGAAAGGGAAGGATAGAGTTCCTTATAGAGAGTGAGGAACTCACAACAGTTGTAACAGCCAACGGTAGAGATGTCCCCGCAAACAAAACACGGAAAGCACGTTCACCAATAAGTTTCTCACCTGTGTCTCGTAGACTAGCCAAACCACTATGGAAAATGGCAAATATTAGAATCAGGATCAACATCACAACCTGCAGAATACCATTTCAAACCTCAGCTTTTATAACCAAAACCTTATCGCATTTTACAGCTCTCAATAAAGCAAATGATCAAAAGATTAGCAAACACAAGGCAATTTATTTATACCAACAAAAAGAAGCATGCGTCTAATCAATGCACGCAACGCACCTAAGAGGAAGCCAGAATGGAAGTTGCACACACTCTCATTCCAAAATTCAACCAAATGAACCTCTATCGAGTCCATCCTATTTTCAGGAAACAACTGTTAAACCAGATTTAAATACAACTGCTCAGTATGGACATTGTCGCCCCCATTATCCCCGTCATTATAAAGGCAACACAATCGATACCATAGCTTCCCTAAATAAAATTCAACGTTTAAAAGATTAAACGCGATTCCTTTTATTGCAATTCCCAACTAAACATTCACAAATTTCTCTATCCACATCCAGACCACACATCCCCTTCCCTTTTTCACTTCCACTGTTAGTTTAATTACTCTCAAGATTTAACAGAAGACATGATTGTAACGCTGTTTCGAACCTCCAATCTGATTCGAACATATTGGTGTACCATGCCATTTCGTTTTCATCCACTCTATCAGTCAAATCTAAGGTTAAAAAAATAGTGTACCAAAACATTCAATCCAATTCTTTGTTTCCTTAATAACAATACACAAGCAATTGGTAACACCCTAATGAATGATTAATGATGTTATTAATAGCTTTAATTAAATTCCTCAACATACAAACAACCTGACACCAACTTTTAACTCAATAATTTGTACTCCAAAAAAACTATCACAATGAGATTGAGAAACAAAATTTACCTCAGGGCTATCGGAAAGTTCCGAAACCGCGTCGACGAAGGGCTTTCCGAGTCCGGTGGAATTATCCAGCCAAGCTACATTGAGTATGAACAGAACAGTACCCAGAATTGCAGTGAAATAAATCCACGAGGACAGCTTCTGCTTCGACAACACAAACTCAGCCGAGTCCTCCCCCACCACCGGCTGCTCGTCGCCGTCGCCGTCGCTGCCGTCTCTGACGGTGATGAAGGTGCGAAATTTGCGGGACAAGTGAATTTGGTTGAGAGGGATGGGGTGGAAAGTGGGTTGTTGGTTGGATTTCAGAAAGGTGGAAGCTTTGAGGGTTTGGCGGGTGGATGAGAGGGAGGGGGTCTTGGGCTTGTCTGGGTTTAGGGATTGGGGAGGACAGGAAGAGAAGATGGTTGAGAGGACAAACGTGGAGGAGGAGGAGGCCATTGAAAGTGGGGGTGGAGGAATCTGAACTACCTGTGATTGTTAACTGTTACAGATTATAGAGAGAAGAAAGAAGAGATGGAAGAAGATGGAAGGTTGCTGGGAAGAGGGAGGGAAAGGAAAGGAGTATCTGGAGGAAGTTATGCTTTTGGGTGGATGTTTTGGACTGATGGTACTTTTGTCCTCTTCAGCCATTCATTCCTTGTACCTGGTGGTGGGGGTGATGGATCTCCAACCGAATGCCGGCCAGCCTCTCGCTTTTTAAAACAATTAATATTTTAATAAATAATACGTGATTATATTTTTTATTATCTTTAATCGATGGTCAAATGATCATAGGGTTCATTTTAGCTCTATCATAATGGACTTAATTTTCATTAAGGTGATAGTTCAAGAACTAAATGGCATCTCATCCTATAATTTTTTTTTAAATAACAATTAAAATTAACGTTTAGTCAATCAATTGTTGCATGTAGATTGTTCGTAATTCATTTATCGAATTTGTTTATCTATTTTTATACAGTTTGATGACCAAACAATCCCATATTTAATTGATTTTTAGGAGAGATGATATTTAAATTGTAATTTATGCAGAAATGCTAAAGAGACTTTCTCAAAGTGAAACTCATAATTAGCAATGCTAACATTATAAAACATAATGCTAAAACATGAAGTGACAAAAAGTCCTTGTGGAGAGTCTTCTTAGTATTTCGCACATGAACAATTCGGATCATAAGTCAAGTTTTGTGAATCAGCTACATAGTGAATTGAGAAGGATGCAACAATATGTAAGATGCGGTGACTGAAAACTTCTTCTGAATTACCTCACCTTTTATTTTCTTTTTACTTTTCTTGGAGGGGCCTTAGAAGGTCCGTAACCACGCCCATCCCCCACCCGCCCCCCTTCATTATCTGAAACACGATACGTACTACTCACGAATTTCCGTCACATAATTTGATTATATCCAGCATTTCCATCCATAAAGGACAAAATTTCTTGTTTTGCAACGTATTAAAAAGCCATTGGAGGGCCTAATAAAGCAATTAGAAATCAAATGCAAGGCAACCAGGGAAGAAAAGATAGCTTGGATTACAAGAAAAAGCACAAAATAAGATGACGAGTGGAAACATAATCACCCAAGGAGAACATTTCCAACCACCCACCAACATACAAAATCAAGGCAGCCAGAACAACCACAAGGCTTCAGGTTCAAGACTTGTATTTACAGAAATCCCAAATCGACGATGCTAAAGAGAGACAATGTAATACCGCGTCTCCCTTCAAACAAATCTGTAAATATAACCCGAAATCCTTTTTTTTCGCCGAGATTTATGTAAAAAATAGAAAAAAAAATCAACAAATCACTATAACAATGAAAAGAGATATAGACAATGACAACAAAACTAATCACCCTACAATCAAGAAGGCTCAGGAGCAGGCAAGTCGAAAAAAGTGTGCCACTGCTGCTGTTGGTCTTCGTACTAACTCCCTTCCGGATACTGCAGCGATTTTCCAGAGCTCATTTCCTCTCCAGTTGGCGAGAAATGGGAAGTAGTGTTTGATGTACTGGAGTTGAGGAAGAGGCAGACCACAGCACAATCATCAACCTTGGCATACGGATATTTTAACCTCCAAGCACGAGTTGCTGACTCTACCAGGGTTCGAGCAGCAGATGGTCGTGGAGCTAATGCTACTATATCCACCACTTCCTCATTTGTGAGGACATCCCATATCTGCAGAGTACAGAAGACAATATCTAAGTAAATACATGTAAGCCAATCCTAAACCATTTGTGCAGTAACACTCTTTCATGTGCATATTTGAATCTATGACGTCAGTTGGATTTATATGGTTAAGTTTATCTATTCTCGCGATCAACAAGAGATATTTTTTATCACATTGAATTTTAAATAAAGACTTGTAAAAATTATCAAGAAATCTCCACAAGCGCATCAAATGAACAGCACTTCTGCCCCCAAACGAAATGAAACTCGTCTGCCTGATAATCAAAGCCAGTTTCATTGAAGATAAAGTTGGAAACTTCAGAGTTTTGGATTTTCATGTTTTCCACACCAAGAACATGGTACTTTAATTCAAATAAAGAAAAAGAATAGAAGAATGCTTAGAGAGGTGGAAGATTAACTACACAAATGGACCAATTTAAGACTGAAATTAAGACTGCAATGGATGAGGCTAAGCAGGAATATTATAGAGAGAATGTACAAATACGAAAATAATTTTTTCATGGCTAGCAAGGAAAAAAAAGGTAAAGATAGAAGCCTTTTTACAATTCCAGCGCAGGACTCAAACGCTTAAACAGAACACTCTTATGCAGATTAGTTCCACCATTCTTGCTCTGAAACCCCCTATGTGCATGACTTGACATGTCAAACCTTCCTCATATGTTCTAACACTATTACCAATTGCAAAGATTATTGCTAAAAGTGAACCTGTCGCACTTCAACCTTATTAGCACTAATCAACATGCCTTTGTTGCTTGGAGAAGGATGGGGGACAACATCCTCCTAGTTCAGAAGCTCACGATGAATTGCATAACACCCTTGGCACCCCTAAAATGTTTCCTTAAGGTTTACCTGATAAAAGCCTATGAAATGGTACACTGGGGTTTAAGTTTTTATATACTTACAGCTTTGAAGTTTCTAGTTGTTACGGTTAGTAGATTAGCGTTTGCATCTCCATCTTTGTGAATATTGCAGGCCTCTAACCAAGCATAAAAGGGCTAAGGCAAGGATGCAAGAAGAACTAGGGAAGTACGGGATCTAAGATTGCTTGGGTTGATGTTTGATGAATGTAGGAACGGACTCTCTTCATCTCTGGAACACGGGTAATTTATGCTTAGGCACTCATGGAAGCCAGTTAAAGGTGATGATGACATCTAGGCTGGATGGATTGAGGAGTTAAAGTAAAAAAAACCTTTGCTTGGCTCCTTTATTCAGCACATCATTAGTGATGGAAGAAGTACTTCTTTATAATGAGGTAATTGGCATACCAGAAGTGGCGAGATTCCATTATCCTAGAAGGATCATGAGTCCAAGCTGCCTAAGGATCACAAAAAAAAAAAAGGTCGTACCCAGTGCACAAGGCTCCCGCTTTACGCAGGGTCTGGGAGAGGTGAATGTCGGCTAGCCTTACCCCCATTTATGGAGAGGCTGCTCCCAAGTCTCGAACCCGAGACCTACCGCTCATGGGCGAAGGCACTTGCCATCGCACCAAGTGCGACCTCTTTGCCTAAGGATCACAAAGGAGGTAAAATTTCACACGGAGACTGGTGGATATCAGTTACTCTATGCCTTCTTATCCTTCCAACTAAGCTTGAAGGGACACTATTAGCTGGGTGGCAACCACTACAGTAACTGTGTGTTTAGTCAAAACTTCCCTAGCATGCTTTTTGTCCTCATAAGGGGTAGATTTGCAAGTTCAAATATAGATTTTTCCCCAGTACCAGATATTTTTGTGTGCAAGGAACTTTGAGTCCCACCCTCATCTTTTTTTTTAACTGCCTTTTCAGGGAAGCATTAGTTGCAGCTGATGACCAAGTGTGGATTACTTTGAATAGCTCACCCTGTAAAACTTCTATTGAGGATTTGAGAGGGCTAGTAAACAATGGAAAGGAAAACAACTTCATCTTATTACTTAGGAGTTGGGTTTGGTTGTAACTGTTTATTCAATTAGGAGAGAGGAAGGCAAGATCTTTAGGAACGAGGCTAAATAATATTCTATCATCTCTGAAGTTATCATAAATAAAGTGAGGAGCAAACTTTCTTCTCCCAAGCTCAAATACTCTCCTTGAATACTCAAAAGTTCCATCCCACTACTAATTCTTTGAGGCCTGCTGATCCTATACATTCACTCCTTGAGTGGATACTCTTCCCATTATCTGTATTAGTTTAGGCCTTTGGGTGGTTCTGACTTCTTGCCTCTAGATGGGTTCGTCTTTATTTGAGGGGTCCGGTCATATCCCTTCCCCCGCTTGTATTTATTTTGAACTTACAGTCTCCGTTCCACCCAATTTTAGTTTACTGCTTAATCCACCACTAACCAAAATAAATAAATAAATAAATTGGCACTATAGTTTTCCACTAAAGACCATAATAAGTGTGACACTCAAAAGAAAAAAAATATGCTGGTAAATTGCATCATAACAAAAAGCTGTAGGCCACAATATATAAGGAAAGAGATTTCTTACCCCATCCGTAGCTAACACTACAAATTCATCCTTCTCAGTGAGGCGACGATAAGATATATCAGGGACAGAGATTAAGCCAAAGTCCTTTAGGCAGAAATCTCCAAAAGCCCGTGCCATGGCAAGGCCAGGTGAATTACAGTTGGGCAACCAAACTCGAGCGATCTCAGGCTCGTTTTGGAGAGCAAATACTCGTCCTTTGCATAGCCTGATCCTCTCTGCTTCCCCTAGATGGATACAAAAAAATTGGATTCAAAACTAACTTTAATGACCCATATTATTAATCCAGGATTTATAATTGTATGATAAAGAATGATTATGTTAAAACACCAATTAAGCTACAAGTAGTAATGGTATATTGACCACATATCAACTACTGCAACACCAAAATTTAAGTGTGTATGCATGAGTGCATGCGCGTGTGTAGGTGGGTGCTGCAAGTGTTCATGTCTGCATGTGAACTTACTTTCATAATCCAATTCAAACAAACAAGGTGTATCCATGCACCCAACCATTTCAAAACAAATTTGCACTCCACTACCAAGAAATAGAGTAAACATGACATGCTGAGACAATAGATAACATCTAAGAGGACATATTGACCATGATCCTCTGCAAAGGAAAGACCTTGTAAAGCACCATGCAGCTAAGGCTTTTCAGCCTTCGATATGGATGCGGTCTTTCATTCCCTTACTATGGAAGTTTCCACAGCACAACTATTCAGTCCTAACTCCTAAATCGCGTCACTTTTCAGATTAATATTAGATATATTTTATTTTGTGCATCAGGATTCAGTTGTCACAATCAATTATATATGACAAACCAGAATCTATCATTGGGTCACTGCTCCTGATTTATAGAAACCATCAAAGATAGAAATCGTCATATAGAAATCGTCATCTGGATCCCATTGTAATAATTTAACGGTCATAATCAATTTAAGGAATACGAGACTGATATTATGAGTAAAGTGTGCATTTGACAAGCGGTAATCAAATGCAGTGGTTAAATACAAAGTTCAATTCTTCATATTATTTAACTCTTAACTATAGACTAGAAAGAGTGAGAGAAAGAAAGATACTTGGAAGATTTGGTTTGAGGTCTACAGTCAACTGAACAGCAACGAGGGAACCATCTTTATCTCTTGTGCCCAATACAGCTCTAGAGTCCCCAACATTTGCAATAACAAGATCCTGACCCTGTAAGCACACGTAAGTATTTAAAAGAAAATTTTACTGGTGCACTCTTGATGTACCAAAACTTAAGTAATAGCATCTGAGCTCTTGGATCAGATACGGACTATTGCGCTGCAACTTGTCGAAGATAATAAAAAGAAGGCGACCTACAGGGCATCTTAATGCCTGTATTTGATCTGAAAACTGAAATGTTATTAGATTAATACGAGGATCTTGTGACACTACGAAAAAAAACTACCTGCTTGACCAAGGTGACAGCAGTTGTCCCGCTGCAATAACAATCAATACGAGGGTGCAATTTGAGCTCCTTGTCCATGACCTTAAAAGCCTTCAAAAATGAATCTTTCAATGTCATAAAAAAATCACAGCGCTCCTCATCCTTGCCTTCGTGACATGCAGCGGCCTCGCTCGAATCATCAGCAGGCCCGTTCGTGGCGTTACCATTCAATACCCACTGTGAAGTCAGCCGCAAAGGTAGAGCATCCCTCACCTTCTTTGCAACCATATGGCCAAAAGGACCATGCCCATCAAAAACACCACAGAAAGTGGTATCCGCCGAACCGAAATTCTGTAGAAACACCACAAAGATATTCAGTTTTGCAGCAATCAATGATCCAGATTCGCAGTTTGACAACATAATATCATAGGCAGACAACAAAAAACATCATAGACCGGCAACATTAAAATCCAGACTGTCGGATAAAATATCTATTTCTATACAATTATGATTGGATAAACATTTGAGCAGAGAGAAAAAGCAAAGCACCTCCCAAGCAATCATGGCGTCCTGATTGACCCCTTTTTTGCCTTGCTTGCTGAACAAGGAAGTAAAATCAGAGGACCCATTCAAGAACATCCTGTCATGGACTCTGTGCAGCCACATCTCCACGTTATCGGCTGTCGGCGTCGTTGAGGACGGGGAGGAGATCGCAGCCACCCTCCTCCTCCGCCTCTTGCTGTCGGATGAAGGGACGGAGCCGTAGGCGGCAGCGCTGCCATCAGCAGAGAGGCAGGAGCCCATGCCGAGGGCCCTGACGACGTCCAGAAAGCACTCCAGCCCCACCATACAGACGGGGCCCCTCCGTGTCTCCGCCGTCGGATCCGTCGTGGTTTCTGGATAGTTTAGGAATTGAATTTCGGGGTTTCGAGGATAACGGATAAATCTGAGTCACTGCTGTCAGTTCCCAAATGAAATCAAAATGTCAAATTAGTCGATTTTATACGGATAATTTGATAATTCGATTGAATTTGGACCAAGAGAAAAAGAAAAGGATAATCGTTTATGCGAAATTACCAATTTGGTGTTGACGGAAACGGCAGAGAAGACTTTGATCAAGCGGAAAGCAACCACCTTTGATTCTGATTTTCTGAGAGAGAGAGAAGACAGCAGCTTTCTATTCTTTGTTTTGTATTTTATCACCAATGGCTGACGGAGCAATATTCTTTTACGACTGCTTCTTTTTTTTTTTTTTTGGTCAATTTTTAGGACTGCTTCTTACTTGGACCTTTTCGTTTTATTTTATTTTATTTTTATATTTTACTAGTCTTCAAAAGCACTTTTGTTAAAAGTGTGTTTATTAATTATTAGATTATAAGTTTTAATTACCGTGTTTATTTTTTATTTTTGGTGTATTTTAATATTACTCCATTTGTATTAATAATTATTATGTTTAATTGTTTTTACATTTGGTACTAGTTTTATTTATCTGGTTCTTTTTTTTTAATAACTAACAATTTAGCTCATTAACAATGTTGCTTTACTAAAAAATATAGCTTTATTGGCACTCAATTTTCACCAACTTATTTATAAACGTTAAATAAATTCTAATTTCGTATGGTGCAGTTGATAAATACAAATTTCAAAATTTAAATTCATCAAATAGTAGGAAGTAAGGAAATGAGCACTACCACCTCTTAAAAATGGGGAGCAAAAATGCACCCAATTTCACCCGTAATAGTAAGTTCACCCAAAAATCTTCATCCATGGCGCAAATGGGATTCGATTAAAATTGTTGATTTAATTATTTAAATTAAGAATACAACTTTAGGTCCTGAAATATCAAACAAACCAAAATTCAAATGAAAACTTTGACGAAGAAAACCTACAATGTAGTGACACAAACATGTGAAGTTTTAAGTTCGAGTAATAAATGAAATATTTAGTACGAACTTATTCACGTAACATATGGTGACTCATAAAACTTTGATTTAAAATGAAAGAGATGTTACGGTGTAGGTTACCCGAAATATTTAATACGAACTTATTCACGTAACATATGGTGACTCACAAAACTTTGATTTAAAATGAAAGAGATGTTACGGTGTAGGTTGCCCGCACCATGCATGAGCAAGTGCCAATTGAATTGGATGTGGCAATTAACCTAATTATTATTAGGAATATGGATAAAAGTTTATCTAATTTTTTATTTTAATATTAGTTTAATATATTGATTAATTAGTTGTCAGACAACGAAATCCAAAAAATTAGCGAGATGACGTAATATACTAATATGGTCGGCAGCCGCCTTCTATATTAGATAAACTTCAAGTAGGGGGTTTAGTCTTATCAACTAATCAAGTTAAATGGATGGTTCTGGATCTTTCTCGCATGGGTTATAAAGTTTCAACTTCTTGTATTATTAGGAGGGAAATAATTAGTCGAGATAAAATTCGCAGTATGATGCACAAGTAGATTGTTTTTCTTCATATGGAATAAAATGTTTGGACTATAGACGAGAAAGTTGATCTCCTAGTCATTAATTTCTAGTTATTTCAACTTGGAAGTAATTCATAATTTAAAGATCATCTCTAAAGGATATGTCAAATTATAACAGTCAAATTGTAATTGATAGCTGATGTGGTAATTTGAAGTTTTATGTCACATTTTTGTATTTTTTCTGCTGAATTGTTAAATGTTATTTTGTTATTAATATGGAGCTTTAAATGGTTGTATTCATTAAAGAGTTGTTGAAACAAATTTTTATTTGTTGAAATGTTAGTGGAATAAGAGACTCACTATTAAAATTAATTAAAAATAAATTTGACATCATCGTTAAATTTGATTTCTAATCACATAGGTTTTAAATCCAACTAGCAAATGACATACGGTTAGAAGGATTTTTTTATGTAAAATATGAACAGTGACACTTGAGAATTTGACATCTCCTTTAAAGATGCTCTAAGATCACATTTTGATTTTGTTCAAATTTTTTAAGGAGGGGTTTGGCCAAATTTAGTGACTGCACTATATTTGTCTAAAACAAAAAATTAACTGCACCATGAGTGACTATACATATACATACATATATATATATATGATATTAAGTATTGTAAAGTCGATGGTATGTGTGCAGTAGAATATAAAGTAAATAAGACATAATATTTACGAGGTTCGGCAAGTGTGCTTACGTCCTCAAGGCAGCAGTAGTACTTTCTTTTATTATATAAAATAATATGAATACAAAATAACTCTCACTATTTTTTCTTTTCTCTCTAGCCTGGCTCATTGATAATTTCTTCCACATCTCTTTTTTTTCCTCTTCTCTTCATTTCCTCCATAACTCCTCTTTCTTTTCTCTGTATATTTTTCTCTCATTTCTTTCTTCTTCTATAGCAACATTGTTCACTTTACAAATTTTCCTCAAATAAATAGTAAAATACTGTGCATGAATAGAAATCCATATGTTTTTCTTGATATGAATGATAATTCATCTGATTTTTTTCAAATGAATAATAATTCATTAGATTTTTCTTTTGATGAATAATAACAAACTATTCATGTGTGCCATCGACGTATTATATTACAACATGAAGCAAATTCCAAGGGATCCAGCGGGTACCAAAATCTGAGCCCTTAAATGAACAACATGTGCACACTATTACTACAACGAAATGTGGAAGTGGATGCCGCATTTGCTTCTGCGGTGGCCTTAAAAATTAATAAAATCAATTATTAAGCTATTTGTTTGATAAAATATGGTTAGGAGTACCTTTCAAATTCAACTAGTTTAAGAGCTCGTTTAGAAGTGCTTTTAAAATGATTGAAAATATTATTTAAGAAAATATTTTGGGGTTTCAAAAACACTTTTATATAATGAGTCCTTGTTACGTGCTTATTGCATGAAACACTTCAAGTGTTTTTTTAGAATTCACTTACATTTTTATTAAAGATTAGTTGCATAAACATTTCACCAAAACGTTACCTTCCATTTTAAAAATACTCCCATACAAAACCATTAAATCGCAAAATCGATTTAGACCCATTTTATAATTTAGCTAAAGTCCCGTATCAATCGCAATACAATATCGTTGTATGCACACGCAACGAATCTTTTATGCATGTGATGATTCCGTACGATGAGGATATGCACATAGGCTGGCATTGGAGGTATTATCTGCAATATGTGTTCAATAATTAGGAAAACTAATGAAAAATGTTTGAAAATTTTAAGTTTTAACGATAAGGAATAAGTAAACGATAAAGTGAATAGTATCATGATTGGTTTTTTAGTGTAAAAATATGATTTTTCGTTAAAGTGAACAATACCATGAGTTTTTCGTTAAAGTCCCTTCAATAATTTTATTAAACTTTTTGTACTCTGGGCTCCGTGTCGGGCCTCTTATATGTTATATTGGGCCTTTTATTTTCTGAATTTCCCTGTTAGACCTAAAAGAAGCCCAAAAAAAGCCCAACATATTCTTACATGCTTATTATTCGGCTATCGGCAATGCAAGACTTTTTATCTTGAGATTCTTATATTTGTATAGGAATGTAAGAATTTAAAAATAAAAATTTACAGAAAGAAAATCAAATCAACTAGCCTCTCATAGTTGATGTGATTCATGATACTTAGGTTTTGGACTAAAAATTTCAAGGGAAAGTTAATATTTTTCTGTTTTCTTAAGTGCCAATAAACACAGAGAAAATTTTGAAGTAAGCCGATTCTCATTCCTATATTTTAGTAACCAGAGAGAACTCAATAATCAAAATGATTTCAATCTCATTCCTTGTAAGTAAACAAGTTTTGAACAATCAAAAGATTTTTAAGATTTGAAATATTACTGTCTAGAGAAACGTGTTAACACAAAAACTGATAAGGTTAACAAACAATAGTTTTAAAAGGTGGTATGATTTTAGGGCAAGGATAACATGACACGCACCAACCACGATATTTAAGTAGACATCAAAATCGAGGCATGTTGGCCAACACTTAGAAGGTGATGAAACGATAATATGCAAGTGATACGTTAAAAAATATGAATAAATTCAACCTGAAGTATGAAATTTAATTATGTTGAAGTGCGCAATATGGGATGAACCTCTATTACAATTTACAATACATGCAATATTAGGACATAGATAAAAGTAAAGTAGAGTAAAGAATATTTCCATCCTATATAGAATGAATATTTATACAAAAAGTAACAATAATAAACGTTGGATCATTAGTGTTATTGATAACTTCCATTTACTTAATATATTGGTGAATTATTTGGATCATAGATTTATGTCGTTATCTAACGAGGCCATTCATTTCGTATGATATCAAACTTGATTGTGTAAGTTTTATCACAAAAATCTTGGTGTAAAATAGAAATGATTAGTTGCATTATATAGAGAGATTGTTCATTAGAACTTAATTATATTCCAAAAAATCTCCCACTACCACTCAATAACCAAATTGCTACATATATATATAGTAGTATCACTACAAACCACTTAAAACACATATAACACCAATTCAATCGATCAGCAACAACAAATAACACAATCAAATTTTACTCACTAAGTGGGGTTGAGTGCATGAATTCTACAATGCTATTGCACTTGGTTTTGCACCAATTCAATCAATATATCAGCATGGTAAACCAATTCACCCACCGGCCACCTCCTCAAACTCAAAATCCTAGCTATATGCATGCATGCATGCAAAATCTGTGGTTAAGAGGCATTAACATCATGATATAGGATGATCAAAGATAAAACGGACCAGGTGGCTTCAATTACTATATTAACTAGCTAAGATCTTTGGGATCTTCGAGCGTCTTGAGATCAACAACGAGCTGCTGCTGCTGCTGCTGAGGTTGGTGGGTGGTCTGTGCAGCCATGGCAAGCTCAAACTGCTTTAAAGATATAGAAGGGAAAGAAAGTATTTCTGGAGTGTTGAAATTATTTTCCCAGCTGCTAGCTTTTAAGGGGTTTGCGGTGGTATTGGTAGTGGCAGACCCATCCAGTCCTATGTGTGTCACATGCTTCACGTCCGTCGGCAATCCAATTTCCATCTCTCCTTCCTCCTCCTCCTCCTCAATCTCTTCCTTGTAAACTAAAAAATACACATATAGAGGATTACCAAAAACATAAACATACAGAAATTAAAAACTAATTTGAAAGAACATATATTTTTTAATCTTTATAGATATATTATTCACCACACT